AATATGTATATATATATATATATATATATATATTATTCTTTTGCCAGTGAGGATTTAGTACCTAAATTTGGACTAAATAATACAGAAGATGAACCACAAAACTGCGTGTTAAATTTTGGAAATAAAAAAACAGGTCCAATCGCACCAATACTATTTCGACTTCTCAAAACATGTTGCATGAGACTTAGTGAATGCGAAGGATTGGAGGCTATTGATGCTCTTTTAGGATGTGGAATACTAATGCCACAAAATTTTAATATACCAGAACCTTTAACATTAGATTTTATTATATGCGGTATTAATTGGTAAGTATTAAGCCTTCTTGATGCAACAATGTATTTTCTTGTACAATGATAATGCAGTGCTCATGATTTCTATATTATTTCCTATATTATTTTGTGAGATCTGGCGAAAATTGTAAATAACTGCAAAAAAATATTACAGGTTTAGAGAAATTATTACAGGTTTTGTAACACAAACGGATCCTTTATTACGGAAACAAGTATTGAAACGTTTAGACACTTTGATATATTTGCAAAGTGAATTGAATGTATTACTAACATTATGTGACACTAAATATCAACCACCACCGTGTTATTTTCATTATTTTCCATTGCCACCATTTGTAAAAATTGAACGGAAGATTAATAGAAAAGGAAAAAAATGTATAAACAAAGAAAATAAATTGGATAGTTTTGTGACTGTAGAAAATGAATCCTGGGAGACAGGTTCTATGTTGTGTTCTAAAAATCCAGCATACTTCAGAAAATTTGACGCAAAGGTAAGATTTTTTAATATGTAGAATGCACGAACATTAACATGGAGAATTTCTCTTTTTTGTTTTGTTCTTTTTCTCTCAAATACTGCGAATATAAAATAAAACGTTCCAATTAATTTTGAACGATATAAGGTTCTCCTATTAAAATATTATTATTGCGACACAAAAAACCTTTTAAATGTTATTTAAAAGTTATTATAACTTAATTATTTTATTTTCAAGGAAATTGTTCAAAGAATGTGTAATTAAAAAATATCTATATTTAAAAATAGCTCCTGAAAGTTATTTCAAATATATTAATTATATTTTTTATATTATGTCTAGATAACCCATCTTTTGGATATTAAAATAAATACGCACTCATCACAATCTGAAATACAAGGCATATCAATAAAACAAGTATGTTTTATTGTAAGAGAACTTTTGATAATATTCGAAAATGAATCTTCTGAATTGTTTGTGAAAGATTTAATACATACGTTACCAAAAATCTGCTCAAAATTAGATGATGTTATTAGCATATTAAGACAAGATGACAATTATGATTTTCGAAAAAGTGCAAAATTATTATTACAACTTCTTACTAATATTTTTAATTGGAAAGGATTTTCTAGTATAACTTATAATACATTGCTACGTGGTACAGTATTTTTGTTAGTCAATTATGAGAATTATTTATTAAGGCTCGGCTCTCTCGCTGCAGCCATATCGAATTATGATGTCAGAGACGAGAAATAACATGTAAAAAGTTTCTTACGTATTACAGCTTTATTTTGTACTTTTATTTTGTACCTTAAAAACATGATATTTTCATATTCTTAAAACTTGTAAAAAATATCAGAAAGTAAGATATCTGTCTAATAAATCACGTAAAGGTGTAAAATAATTCTTGACGTAATGGTACACTGCTTAGCTAAGAAGCTCAGAAATCACCAGATCATCAGCTCTATTTGTTTCTGAACAATGACCATTTCAAGAATTATTTTACACTTTTACGTGATTTATTAGACAGATATTTTACTTTCTGGTATTTTGTACAAGTTTCAAGAATATGAAAATATCATGTTTTTAAGGGAAAAGCACAAAATGAAGTTATATAATGTAAGAAACTTTTTACATGTCATTTCTTGCCTCTGACGTCACACTACTCATTTTGCGCCGTGAGAGAACCGAGCTTTAATTTTACACATATTGTTCATATTTTTTTATTTATGTAACTTTAGAGGGATTACGTATTTTGGCTAGACAAGTCAATGAAAAAAATGTTTCACTACGATCTTGTAAGGAACTAGTTGCAGAATCATACAAATATTTTGAATCCCTGTCGGATATTGCTACTGAAATAACATTAGCCACTGCTCTTGTCAACATGTGTCAGTCATTAATGAAACATTCAGAAACTTATATACAAGAATATAAAGATAAACATGGTGAGTAATATAATTTTTACTGAAGAATTATAAACTTCTTTTATAAATTATTAGATTTTATAAATTATATTTTTCTGATTTCAGCAAAATTATCATATGGATTTCTTTGTTTGAGTTGGCCTCAAGATAAACGTATCGATTCTCAATACAAATTATCTGTTATTCAGTTATTGAATAATTGGATAGACAATGAACCATCGCCGTTAAAAACAGTGACATCAGTTCTGGAATGGTTACCAAATGAAGTCTGCACTTTTGAGACTATTCAAAGTTCTCTAACAAGAATGCCTTCTGTGAAAAAAGATATTTTTTATTTATTATATAATAAGTTATTTGATGGTTTAATTAAAGGTATTACTGTATCATTGCCAATGGTTAACTCGTAAGTATAACTACTTTTTTTCTCATAAAGAGACATTAATTTTATTGACATTAATTTTATTGATTTTAATTAAAAACAATGGCGATTTTGATAATTATAATTATTATAATTTTAATACAATCAGAATAATATGTAATTGAGGATTTGTACAAATACAGATTCTTTTTGAAATGAAGAGAGGAAGAGAGAGAAGAGGGGAGAGAGAGAGAGAGAATGTTTATTTTTAAAATATTTTTCAGAGATCCAAAAAGAATAAAAATATGGCAAAATGTTTTTTCAAATGTTCAAAAACTTGTGCAAATTTGTAAAACTCTGAAAACAAAGACTATTATACGATTATTTCTGCGATACATGCCATTATTAATAAAACAGTTTTTAAATACTGGTATGCCAATACTTGAACATAATCTGAAATATCAAACGGATGATGTAACTAATATCCTGAAAATGATGCAGTGTAAGATATAATATTTTATTTATACGGAATGTTTTGTATAAATCCTAATTTTAATTTTAACAATGGTCTGATAAACTTAAAATCAATTTTGTTTTTTTAGTAGGAACATCAAAGATCATTATTATAAATTTATTTACAACTAAGTTGTATTTTTATTTTATTGAAATGGTAATTGTCTAAAGTAGCTGATAAATTTTAAATTGAGTTGATTTATTTACTTGATAAAAATTCCTTCTTTTTTTTTAATGGTTTTATAGCTATAAAATTATTGATTATTTGGATTTTCTTACTAAAAATTCTGAATTTGTCTGTTAGCTAATGTAAAATCTTGAGTTTATGCATTCTGTATATGTCTAACAATAAAAAGCATTTAATCTTTTTTAATTTATTCATTACATTTAAATATTTAGGTGGTACACGATACTTACATGCTGTATGTTGCGATTGCACAGAGAAAAAAAACTTACTATTGATTAAATATGTACCTGCAGCAAAATCTATATTAGAGAAATTAATTTATAGCGTCAAAGGAATGTTGGTTCTTAATGATAGTGCAGCAGCGTTTTGGATGGGAAATCTTGTCAATAAAAACTTAGATGGACAAGAAATTTTTTCACAGGTTCGTATTCATATTTGAGATTTTAATTTTATTTTACATATTAAAACAGAGAGAGGAGGGGAGAGGAGAGAAGGAGGAGAAACAGAGGGGGAGAAAGAAAGAGAAAATAAAATTTAATTTATTATTTGTAGACATCATCAGAAGAAACTGAAATTTTACCAGATATTAATACAATTTCGGAAGGATTAACATCATCTGAAATTTTAGATTCTGATTTAGACGAAAATTCAATAGAAGAAACAGAAAATGAAGAAGATGATGAATTGTAATCATATAATAGGTAAATCAAAACAACAATATTTTATAATTATAAAAATCATATAAAAATACTAGAGTTGGATAAATATTAATTCTATTTTTTAACTAACTTTAAGTTAATGGCCTATGAAATCTTAATTATATTAAAAGTTGCATGAAAAAAATTAACTTACAAGAAAATGATAAAAATGAGAAGTTTAGTACTTTTGAATAGTTTTGAATTAAAAAAAATTTCTATAAGTATCTTGGAATATCCTTATTAACTAAGTAAAATAGTAAAATAGATGTATAACTCTGTGTTTGTAATAAAAGATTAATACAGTTATTCAAAAGTGACGAATTTATAAGTTTTTTATGCATGTTCCTAATATCTTATTATAAGTGTAATAGTAAAAAACAGGAAT